CCTATAGAATTTATAAAACTCTATTACCAAAGGTTAAAGAAATAATATAAGAAAACATCAGATATCACTAGTGATGAATTAACAAAACACTGCATTCATCATCAGAAAGAGATTTATAAACTACTTGCTGGGCACTGTAGTGAGTTGGAAACTATTTTAGATTACTAGACCAATGATATGAGATAACACTTTGGGGCAATTTCAGATATCCCCAACAATATTTAATGGAAATATGACATACTTCTTAAAGTTTCTAAATATAAATTAATTTAAATAATTATATTTCTTAAATAGATGCCATATTTGTACAGTAAGCATATGACATAGCCCCACTTTAGATGAATATATAATCTGGCAGAGAAGATGATATACACACATAGAACAGAAAACAATGAGAGAACTTAGCCAGCACCAATACAAGAGGAATGTGTTTTGTGGATGATAATTAAAGAGTAGGGAGACCATATAATTTATTTAATAATCAAACTGGAACATTTCTGCAAGTGAAAGGGGGGACAATTAATAATCTTGCTGGGGAAAACAGTGCAAATTTCACTGTTCCAAGTAAATCAAGACACAAGGTAGTGATATGTCTATAGAATTCCAGAAAAGGAGAGTTGATTGTAAATTAAAATGACTCCTGAAGTCTTCTTCAAGAAAATGATACCTGCACTTGGCTGTGTCTTGGATGTAACTAGGCAGAAGGAAGTTGAGAATAAATTCTAGTCTAGGGAAATAACATTATAAGAGATATATCGATTTAACAATCACCCTAAGATGAAGCTTTGATGATTGTGAAAAGTTACAGACAATATTGGATGGTTAAGGAACAGATGGGTTGAGGTATAGGAGTAGAACAGACTAATAGATTTGAAATCTCATGAAAAAGTCTCATACAAGAGAGTCATTTAAAATCTATTGGTAGGCATATGACATAAATAGAGTAAAACTACTCTTAAACTCCAGTTTAGTGTGAGATGGGAATATTACAGAACAACATAGGGTATAAAATGAACAGATATTTTAATTTTACATAATCTATATGTTGCATGATAAATTGGAACAAAAATAGTATATGGGTATATCATTGGTATGCAAAATCAAACCCCATTTTTTGCATAAATATATTTTTAAGTAAGATTAAGTGTTTTATAAGATTTTTTAGAGTGACTGCCAGATTTATTCTGTAAAGAGGGTAAACATAAAATTATACACTTACACACACAGATATATATATATATATATATATATTACATTTTATGTAAAAATAAGCACTTACGAACACTTCTATATTCCTAAAATTATCTTAGCACTTTTTATGAACTTTCTTTATGAACTTTCCAAAATTTTCTAAGCTAAGTATTATAATTATTTTATAGATGAATAAACAGAGCTGAAGAAGTCAGGTAATTAGCAAATACCACACAGCTGTTTTGGTGATGGTGAAAATATTCAAACACATTTTTGCATGGTATGAAGTCCATGACTTTTCTGTGGCACCACATTACCTTACATGTTCTCACTGAATTGAGTCTCACGTGGCTTAGTTCTTACACAGAGGTCCCAGTTAAAATAGGAAGCTGGGTACTTACTAACACATCTAATTTCATTCTGCTATGATCAGTGTTAGTACCACTGATATTATAAACTTTTCCTTCCACTAAAAATAAGAATTGAGTACTTGAATTTAAAAAAAAAAATCAATCTTCCTTCTCTGCCCATTTTCTACTTGATGTATCTTGGTATTTCCTTTTTGTTGTTGTTGTTTTTTAATTTAAATTCCAGTTAACATACAGTGTAATATTAGTTCCAGGTGTAAAATATAGTGATTCAACACTTCCATACAACACCTGTGCTCATAAGAGTGAGTGCACTCTTTAATTCCCATCACCTATTTTACCCATTCCCCACTCCATAACCATCACTTTGTTCTCTGTATTTTAAAGTCTGTTTCTTGATTTCTTTTTTTTTCCCTTTGCTCATTTGTTTTAGTTTTTAAATTCCATATATGAGTGAAATCAGATGATATTTGTCTTTCTCTGGCTGATTTATTTCACTTAGAATTATACCCTCTAGCTCCATCCATGTTTTTGCAAATGGCAAGATTTCATTCTTTTTAATGGCTGAGTAATATCCCATTATGCATGAATGTGTTCACACACATACACACACACCATTTCTACTTTATCCATTCATCAGTAAATGGATGCTATATGGGTTGTTTCCATAATCTGGCTATTGTAGTAATGCTGGTATAAACATTGAGATACATATATTCCTTTGAATTAGTGGTTTCATATTCTTTGGGTAAATACATAGTAGTTCAATTGTTGGATCATAGAGTAGTTCAATTTTTAACTTCTTGAGAAATCTCAGTACTGTTTTCCACAGTGCCTGCGGCAGTTTGCATTCCCAGCAACAGTACAAGACCATTCTGTTTTCTCCACATTTTCACCAGCACCTATTGTTTCTTGTATTTTTGATTCTAACCATTCTGACAAGTGTTGCTTTGCTTTTCCCTGATGATGAGGAATGTTGAGCATCTTTTCCTGTGTCCTTTAGCCAGCTGTATGTCTTTGAAAAAATGTCTGTTCATGTCTTCTGCCCATTTTTAATTGGATTATTTGTTTTGGGCTGTTGAATTTTATAAGTTCTTTATATATTTTGGGTACTAACCTTTCAACAGATACGTCATTTGCAAATATCTTCTCCATTCCATAGGATGTCTTTTAGCTTTGTTGCCTGTTTCCTTCACTGTGCAGAAGCCCTTTATCTTGATGGAATCCCAATAGTTTATTTTCAGTTTCGTTTTCCTTGCCTCTGGAAACATATCTAGAAAAATGTTGCTATAGTCAATGTCAGAGAAATTACTGTCTATGTTCTTCTCTAGAATTTTAATTGTTTCCTGCCTCACATTTAAGTCTTTAATTCATTTAGAATTTATTTTTGCGTATAGTGTAAGAGTGGTCCAGTTTTGTTCTTTTGCATGTTGCTGTCCAGTTTTCCCAGTGCCATTTTTGAAAAGACTGTCTCTTTCCCATTGGATATTCTTTCCTGCTTTTTCAGAGATGACTTTACCATGAAGTTGTGGGTCCATTTCTGCGTTTTCTATTCTGTTCTATACACCCATGTGTCTATTTTTGTGCCAGTGCCATAATGTTTTGCTCACCATAGCTTTGCAATGTAACTGAAGTCTAGAATTGTGATTCCTCTGGCTTTGCTTTTCTTTGTCAAAATTGCTTTGGCTATTCAGGATCTTCTGTGGTTCCATACAAATTTAAGGATTGTTCTATCTGTATGAAAAATACTGTTGATATTTTGATGGGGATTGCTTTAAATATATAGACTTCTTTGGATGCATACACATTTTAACAATATTTGTTCCCCCAATCCATGAGGGTGGGATGTTTTCCATTTTTTTGTGTCCTTTTCAATTTTTTTAATCAATGTTTTACAGTTTTCAAAGTACAGTTCTTTCACTTCTTTGGTTAGGTTTATTCTTAGGTATCTTATGGCTTTGGTGCAATTATAATTAGGAGTGATTCTTTGATTTCTCTTTCTGCTGCTTCATTATTGCTGTACTATAATGCAACAGATTTCTGTACATTAAATTTATATCCTGTGACTTTACTGAATTTGTATCAGTTCTAGCAGTTTTTTGGTGGAGTCTTTGGAGTTTTCTATATAAAGTATCATGTCACATAGTGGGAGTCTGATTTCTTCCTTGCTGATTTGAATGTTTTTTATATCTTTTTGTTGTCTAACTGTTGTAGCTAGGACTTCCAGTACTATGCTAAATAACAGTGGTGAGAGTGGATATTCCTGTCTTTTTCCTGACCACAGAGGAAAAGCTTTCAGTTTTTCTCCATTGAGCATGATATTAGCTGTGGGTTTTTTATAAGTGACCTTCATTTTATTGAGAAATGTTCCCTCTAAACCTACTTTGTTGAAGGTTTTTATCATGAGTGGATGTTGTACTTTATCAAATGCTTTTTCTGCCTCTATTAAGAGGATCATATGGTTCTTGTCCTTTCTTGATTAATGTGGTGTATCACATTGATGGATTTGTGAATATTGAGCTAAACTTGCAACCCAGGAATAAGTCCCACTTGATCGTGGTGAATGATTTTTTTTAATGTATTGTTGGACTTGGTTTTCTCATATTTTATTGAAGATATTTCTTGAGTTCTATTTAAGCAGTTTGTGTGCAGTCACAGTTTTTTCAGGTGATCCTCATAAATCACTCTCTTAGTTTTATTTTTAACAGTAACTTCCTAAATCAGCAGTTTCCACAAAACAACTGGTTTGTATTCTTGGAATTTGGAGTAATTCCTCCAGATGTATAGTTTTCCTATTTCTAAAACTAAACTTTTTAACTGTTTTGGGTTGCAAGGAAATATTTTTTTCCATTTTTAACCCATTTTACTGTTTATACATTGTCACATTAAAATTAGCAGAACTCCCATGATAGATAGAACAAAAACCTGTCATACAAGGAAAAATAGTGAAGGTTTCATAAAGCTTAAGAGAAGTACCATGGTAATACAAGGATGGTGCAACAATCTCAGATGACAGTGCCAAGGTGTTTGAGCAGGTAGGAAAAATGGTGCTGCAGGGACATTTGGCCTGAGACCACTGCTGTTTTCTAAGAATTTCCGAATATGCTTGGTAAGCAGGTTACTTGTAACAGATGTAAATGGAGTAGGGTACCACTTCTGCAGAATAAATTCTGCAAGTTCCTGTGAGGCGTCTACAAATCTCATCCTGATAAATGGTTGTTGAAGATAATTTTGCAATGGTAGTCCTATGACCAATACCCAGGGAAATTTTACCACCAGTGAAATTCTTGGACCAAAAACTAAATGGCTACATATACCAAACCTAGACATTGTGAATTAAAATGGTGCCATGTTAGGGCTTATCATAGAAGCAGACCAGGAAAAATTATTCCAGCAGAAGATCTTCATTCTTCTCTTCAGTCAAAAGATTAACAGGCTCCATTACCTCTCCAGCTGCCCTCTATTGCTCCAAGTCCTTCTCCAATTTTCCTGGAGAATCTTTTCCTTCTTTATTTTCTTTAATCTATAGAACTCTTCTGGCTCTCTCTCATCCAGCTTTCTGATGATATAAGCAAGGGTATGTTCAATTCCAGGGACAATGGTATATGAAATATCATTTACACATTTGTTGGTTATCTTAATAGCTTCATCCAAAGTAACAAAGGAAGTTTGAAGGGAAACTATTTCTATCAGTAATTCCACTGGTTTGACATAATTTCTCTTTAATTTAGCCAATTGTTCCCCACCTCTGGCTAAACCAGCTAGTTTATAACTGTCAGTTCCTTCATGGTAATGTTCAAATTCTGGCAAAATAACACCTGATACATTATCTTTCTTAGCTAGAATCTTCTCATGGGCTTTATTTACGTTTTGGATAATTGTGGTGTCGACGTCCCCTGTTATGAACTTGGTCTCAGCAAGAGAAAAGGAAGTTTCTCTCATCACTTCATCCATCAGCACTTTAGTCCCTATTATCTTCTTTAGGATCTGTTGAAAACAAAGAGCTAAGGCATCAGACATTTTCTTCAGGAGGTTTCAACCTGTCTGTGCTCCTTTTAATCAAGACTTCAAGATGGTCTGTGCCATGCATGAGGGAAAGATTTTAATTTGGTCTTTGTCCTACATTCTGATGGTGATTGTTCCACTCAGTCCCCTGGCCTGGCATTGGTGGCTGCAACAATCTCCATCCAGCCACAGGATCTTCCCCTATGGGGTCAGCTGTTTGTTGAAATTATAGTGTTTTTATTTCAGCTATTATAGTTCCTACTAGTCTTATGATTTTGGAAAATATCACTGAGTTTATCGCCAGAGTTAATTAACCAACAAACTAGAAATAGATTTACAAGGAAAAAATAATAATAAAACACACACTTGTGGAAAATATCTAAGTAATCCATACTAAACGAAGAAGTCTGAACAAGTTGAGTTTTTAAGAAATAAATCCCTTCTGTATCCAGGAATTAGAAATTGTTAAACTTTAAGATGGTAGGGCACTGACCAAAGAAAAGCCAGTTTACAAAACTGAAAACTTCTGGACAAATAAGTAAAACAGAAAAGGGGAAATATGGGAAAGTAATTAAATCAGGGATAACCAACATATTTTTCCCATTCTAATCTTTTATGCCCAAAGGATATGCATGCCTGAATATCTAACACTTGTATCTAACATGAATATTAGACTCACAATAATTATCACAATTAATTATTTTAATGATATTAATTTTAAAAGGCATATTCCTATTTTAAAATGTGTTCTTGAATTTTTCAAAACACCCTGTTATTCAAATTGGACTTTATCATAACATCTAGTTCACAGGCAGATTAATTTGAAGAGATTAACTACATGGAGGCTAAGATAATTATAAATGTAAATATATATAAATGTAATTATGAAACTCAAAACCACCTGATTTTTGTAGGAAATCCCTTATAAAATTATAAAGAGCATACATTTCAAATTGTTCTTATACCATTTATATTGTTAGTATAAATCATACCAACATTTCTATTTTTTCAAAGAAATCAACTAAAAAAAGTCTAGCCAAAAGTTTCATGCTACATGAATTCATACAAATGGAAGTTTGAAGATTTATTACAGTGATTATATCTCAACAGAGATATATATGTATTTTATGATTAGGATTTTTTTTTTTCTGAAACAGGTGAGCCATAGGGACAAACCTCCAAAGCAGAAAATAAACCATTTCAGTGTCTTTTGATAAATAAACAATATCCACTATTTCTATATGGTGCATGAAAATGTGACAAATAAATTACCTTCATTAAAGATTTGCATGAAGGATTAATGAGTATTAGTTAAGCCATAAAAGCACAAAGAACATTTATGAAAAATTACATTGAGCGTAAGAATTTGAGTGGGAGAGAATCTTGTTAAAATAGTTTATCTTACCTGAAGATTCTCTACTGCACCTATATGATAAATGTAACTTAAAAGCAACCAAATTTCCACATTTAACATGCAAAATTTAGGCAAATCGCAACTCCACAGGGTTTTGTCCTCTGTGAGTTACTTACTAGAAGGGGGATAAATCATAAAACTCATCTTTGTTTCTGTTAATATTTATGCTGCAATAAGTCTTCAAATTTGCACCATAAAATTTGCATAGCATTAAATTAAAAGAGGTAAAGATATCTTAAAAATTCACCATCAGTAAAAAATATTGAGTGTTTTGAATACTTACCTTATGAATTTTCTTTTTCTTTCAATACATAGAACTAAATTAAAATTTAATTATTTTACTTGTGTGAAAATGACAAATACCTTTTGGATAGAAGATCATATTTTACTGAATAGCACAGAAAAATGAGAAATTTTTTTTTTTTAAATCAAGGTTTCCATTTTTTTCCCTTTGGAATATTACCCAAGATTAATGCTATCTACTCATCAAGCACTACCATCTTGTGGACTCCTCTTGATTCTAGAAAATACTGGTTAATATAAAAATTATAAAATATGGGACTTTTGGGAGGTTAAATATTTGGAAAATTCTATAAATCTCAATGTTAGAGATCCATGTTTGTAATCATGCAATAATATTGCTTTTACCCCCAGGAACATCTGCATTTTAGGTACACTCTGCTGCTATTTTACAGCAGGTTTCTGTGCCAGCAAGATACATCCTTACCATGTTACATAATGAAGACTGGTGTGGCTCTCTGACAGTTTAATTAGGTTGTGACTCAATAAGAATATCTAGAAACCTGCTTTTGTCTGGTAAATGGAATTTAGGTACTGCTCTGTCACTATGAGGCATCAAGGTTTTAATTTGCGAAATTAGACCCCATATCATATATCGTTCAACCTAATAAGTACTTGAAACCCCTATTAACCATGTTTTCTTTTTTTAATTCAAATAAAAATTGATGTTTAATAAGAATTCTTAATCAAATTTTGATTTCTGTATCTTAGTTTGCTCATCATAAAACTGAGTTACCTATCCTTGTAAGGAGTACATAAATTAATATATAGAGAGCACACTTTCTGGTACATACTAAGTGTTATACAAGTTTACTGGATGCTATTGGTGCCGAACCCAGATCTCCTTTACCTGGTTAATATGCCTATCCAGCAGCTGCCCCTTCTCCAGAGAATTTCCCTTATCCAGGGAATTGTCTCCCTGCCCTTATGGCACCTCACCTACCTCAGTTAGCAGCCAATATCCAAAAGGCTGAATCTTTTTACCTTCCACTGCAGTACTCACCAATTCTGCAGTTAAATTTGTGTTCAGAGTCACAGGTAGGATTAGTCTTAAACTAATCTCTGGCAGGAACCACATCCTTGCTTAGCTGATTTTTCCCCCTTACTGTTTCTTGCCTTTCTTAATTCCTTCTCCTGGGAACAACTCATCAAAAAATTACATTCAAGTAATCTCCTTCTCAGATTCCGTTTCTACAAAACTGACCTTCACTGTTGTTATTATTATTACTAGGTGGTCTAATATTTTGATTTAATGAAAATGAATTTAAATTACCTTGGTTATGCCTCATGGATGGCTCATACAGTCCTCCAGTATTCTCCATGCATGTCTTTTCTTTACGGTAAACTCTTGATAAGCACATTGAGGTGATCTTCCCGAGCAAAATTCTAGAGTACATATATTCTGTTGTTGATTAAGAGCTGGGATTTCTGGGCTTTGACAGTGAATTGTGAAAAGTCTAGAGTGAATGCTTTTTAATGCAAAGTTCCAAGCCTAGGTTGAACTTGTGCCACTGACGAGCATACTGGTAAATAAATGCTGGTCCCTGACCTGATGGAGTTTACAACTCAATAAAAATAGTTTAAAAAGCCCTTAGCAAAGCAAGAAATTTAGGTTGCCTTTTGAAAAGAGTTAGCAATGACCTTTATATCTAGACACAGGGCTCTTGGGATTTAAAAACAAAAAGTCTGCTGCTATGTGAAGCATTCCACAGAGAAAGTAAAAATAGCTTACTGTCACCCATGTGGTGTAATCGCTTGAACTCTATGACTTGGAATTCACTTACTCAGATTCATTTGAGTTACAGATCATGAGAAAATGACAATTTACTACTGTTTCTATTACAAATAGTCTTTTCTTTATCTTTTATTTTGCTAAAGGTGTTTTGAGTTATATGCATATAAAATTTTATTTTGTCTTGGTGACATATTATAATGTTGAAGCAGAACTCTGCCACTTTTGACTCTAAATAATAAACTAATGAAAATACATGTCTCATAATTTTTTTGAAAAAAGGGGAATTACTACTTTGTTTTGTTCAACAAAGATAACTGAAATGTAGAGTAATAATACAACCTACCTTTGTATTGAAGCAATTTCATTTTTTTTAACATGACAAATGTTCTCTCATATTCTTGACATCGTTAAAAATGTCTTGATTCCCTAAGCACTAACCAAGTGTCAGGTAGACAGCTTTATTCTATTGTTATTCTCGGGATCTTTGCCTCTAGCTATGCTTTATAGGTGAAACTCTTGACACTTGTAGAAATTAAATCCAAATGTACAAGGTTAAAGGTGAATCTGCACTGTATTGCACTCTGCCTTACACCAGGTCATTTATCCTGACCTAACAGCTATTCTTACTGAATAGTTGCATTGAACACTCTCATTTAAGTGACTTATCATAGTCCTCAGCGCAACATATAATGTAAAGCTTACTATCCCATTTTATGGATACTGAAACAGAGATTCAGAAAAATCAGAATGTAATAATTTAAGTGGCATAATATAATGATAAAATACAGGTTTAGAGTGAGTTGGACAAATTTGAATTTTTCCTCTGATATGTAATTAGTCTTAATTTTCTACTGTTTCCTTTACCTGTTTGAACCCAGACTTTTGATAATGAAGATGATTATAACAATAATAATAACTCACTACATCTAGTTCTGTAGTACTAACCTTACACAAAATACTTCATTTAACCTACAATTTCCTCCATTTTATAGATGAGAAGAGTAAAACTTTAATAAAGTTGAATAAGTTGCCCAAAGATGCATAGTCGGTAGATCACACAGGCGTCTCTGAAATTCTGATCTTTGTGATTGTGAAGTCCATGGTCTAATTCACATGATTCTGCCTTCTAACAGAAGTGGGTGATAGGGTTGGTAGGGTTGGAAAACAATGTAAAGTGTGTCATTCGTAGTAAAGTCTTAAGTCTGTTCCTTTCCCAGTCCCTAGGAATATCCTAAGGAGTGTCTTGTATATAATAATTTATTGCTATTTAATTGTTGACACTTCCAGTTACCTTGATCTCAGTCCTTATCCTAAATCTATCAGCCAATATAATTTTTATATATGATCCATTTATAACTTAAACTGCTGAGTCAGCTTCCTCAACAAAATGTCAGTGATCATGTCCAAGCACAGGAAAAATGATTGACAATCGTGGAGGCTTTAACTTGAGAGAGAAGTTGGACCACCTCAAAATTCAATGTCCCTTAAATTTTGCCTAATTTACCTGGTAGAATAAATCATAAAAAAAAACTTCATAGTAACTTTGTAAACATGACCTTTTGTCTTCTGTTCACAGACAATACATTCCAGACTGTTAAACTGCCTACATTATTTCTCAGTGTCTGTATTTAGCCTCACTTCAAATGCTATCTTTGACTCATATTCTCAAAGCCAAATAAGTCTTTACTTTTTACTGAGATTTGAGTGCTATCA